TTATTATTATTATTCGATCTCTGCGCGCAGGAAGCGCCTGCTGGGAAAGGCAATCAGCGCCGCAGTCGGCCGAGTCCACGCGTCGAGAATCGTAGAGGGGGGGAGGGACGAAAAGGAGGAGGAGGGAAGAGGCGGAGGAGGAGGAGGAGGAGGAGGAGGAGGAGGAGGAGGAGGAGGAGGGGGAGGGGGAGAGGAGGAGGGGGAGAGGAGGAGGAGGAGAAGAGGAAGGAGGAGAAGAGGAAGGAGGAGGAGGAGGAGGAGGAGAGGAGGAGGAGGACACGGAGGGGAAGGAGGAGGAGGAGGAGCAAAAGGACTGGGAGGACGCGGGGCGCTGCTGTCAGGTCGACTGAGGCGGGCGTAGTCGTCCGACGGCGGCGGCGCGAGCCGAGCAGCGGAACGGCAAGGCTGAGCAGGTGCGGCGCGCCGAGGGCCGCGGCTGCGTGCCCCGAGGGCCCCGCGGGCTCGACGGCCCATCTTGCCAGGCGCAGGGGGGAAGAGGGGGGAGGAGGAGGAGGAGGAGGAGGGGGGGAGGAGGAGGAGGAGAAGGAGGAGGAGGAAAAGGAGAGGGAAGGAGGAGGAGGAGGAGGAGAGGAGGAGGAGGAGGGGGAGGGGGAGGAGGAGGAGGAGGAGGAGGAGGAGGAGGAGCAGCAGGAGGAGGAGGAGCAGGAGGAGGAGGAGGAGGAGGAGGGGGAGAGGGACGGCCCGGAATGGCGAGGGGATGGGGGGGAGAGGACGGGGCAAGGGAGGGCGGGACACACGAGAAGGCGAAGCGGGGGACACCCGAAGGCAGAGGATGGGGAGGGTGAGGAGAGGGGAGCGAGCGGAGGGGCCAGGGAAAGAGGAAGGGGAGCAGACAGGAGCGGAGGGACGTGTCCGACTGTGCTCACGAGAAGCGTTGTGTCTTGGAACAGTGGTGCGCGTTGGCGTCACGCTTGAGGCATCGGCAGGGGTGAAAAATCGACATGCGTGCGGATGGGCGCCTCACCGCGATTGGCAAGGACGTTGCGCAGCAGAGCTTGGCTCAGAAAGCACGAACGTCAAGTATGAAGCGACGCCGTTTGAAACAACAGGCCGCTGCTGTAAAAGGACACCTCATGCCGATAGCCCCTTCTATGTACCAGTCAGACATGGCTTGCATACTGTCAAGAAGAGTACGTTTGAGTAAGGAGTGCCCATGCGCAGCTCCCGAACACAGTCGAAACCCACTGTTCGTTTCGCTTCGCGTGGGAACCAGGCAACCATGAAACGCGCGCGACATGGAGGAGGAAGGAGGAAAAGGGTGACACTTGAGCCCACATGGTTCCGGAAGGCGTTGCCTCCGAAGTGAAAAGATTGAATTCGCCATTCCCTGATCACCAGCCTTCGCCAGCCCTCGCCTGGAGTTCGTGGGCGCCCTCCAGAGCGATGGCCTCCGCCAGGAAAGGAACGGATAGGCGGCTCGATCTCGAACTGCTTGCCCGAGACAAAGTCGGTGACAACTGACGGCTTGTGGTCGCCATACCCGCGGAGAGACTCGACGACCTCGCTTTTCACCGCACTCGTGCACAGCATCCGGTCCCAGCAGAAGGCGGGGACGGGATCATGACGCAACACATCCATGGACTCGTTCAGGAGCTGGTCCACCTCGTGGTGTGTTTGGGATGGCAGCCCTTCTGTTCTGGCACCAAACACCACGTCCCTCCTTCCTCGGACTCCAGGCAGCGGCCGTCAACCGCAGTATTGCTGTCAGAATCTGTGGGACGCACACCTTAGAAATTGTGAAGAGAGAACATGTGATTCCAGAACTGTTCCAGATTGATAACACCCACGGATTCACCTTAGTTTCCATATCGAAGGGGCCGTGGAAAACTGGACCCGAGTACTTCCGAGGTGCAAGTACGAATTTGCCGTTCACGCCACCGTTGCCACAGGAGTCTTTCACCACGAACTGGTCTCGCATGACGACCATCATAGGCTGTGTAACTATCCCATTGTCTCAGAGCTTCATGACACTATCCTACTTACAACCATGTAATGCCTCATGTTCATAGATCACGTTTTCACACTCGGAAACGTGCGTCCATTGAAGGAAATAGGCAATACTTCACTGCGTTCTGTTAGACCATCGCTTTTCCGAAACACAGCTACGCCAATTGTGAAAGGATTGGGACTATACTGGAGGATGTGGAATACAAACCAGCCTGATATAATGGACTGAACGCCGCTGCAACATCGGATGGGCAAGCAAATCCTGCCCACACGTTTGATTCCCTAAGACTGGATGAACGTAGAAGTTAAATCGGTATCCGCAACAACACTAATGATTATCCTGGCGAGGGGCCAAGCCGTGTGCAGTTGTGAGTAACGCAGTTGTGGGTATCGACCTCGGTGAACCTCTGTGGGGTCACGACGCGTGTGGCGGGTGTGCCGAAATTGACACGGGTACGCCAGGCGGACGCTGCCACCGCAGCCGTCGGTGGAGCCCCATGTGAGGCCACGGAATGTGTGAGGGGTGCACCCGAATGCAGGGCGGAAAGCGCGTGCGGGCGCTGCCACTACTAGGGCCTTCGGTGGAGCTCCCTGTGGGGCCACGAAACGTGTGAGGGGTGCGCCGAAATGGAGGTGGAACTGGGAAAAAAACATGCATTGGCTGGTGCATCGGCTCCATCAAGCTAAACTTGTCCATCTTCAACTTAACCTCCGAACGGGACATCTGACCGACAATACATACAGCCACCTTTCCGTGGCATCCTTGCCTGGCTGCCCAAGACCGTTGCGGGAGATGCCTGATCCAAGCTAGCCCCACTTTCACACCCGGATTTACATTGGCCGTCGTATCGCTGCCCTGTTTGCTAACATGTAGCATGCACCACGTCAAAGCGGCGCAAGACAAGACCTACGACTGTATCAGCGTGCATGCGCGCGCGCGTGTCATTGTGCGTCTGCACTTCACGGGGCGCAGAGTTTCAATCAAGAAGCTGCAATCAGGTTGCCTTGAGCCAAAATGGTTACGCAAGGCGCGCAAGAAATATCTTGTAGTCTCTACGGGGGCTGCTCAGGGACTCATCATGAGGGCCACTTAGGCGTCTACTGGAGGTCTATTGGGGGTTTCTTGGAAGTTTCTTGGGGGACTCTGGGGCCTCTTGGGGACCGCCAAGATGCTCGGAGGGCCACCTTGGCGCCAAGGGCGATCGGAGGGCCGATCGGGGGGGCACTAGGGGGGGCCTCTTCTGGGCCTCTTGGGGCCCTCTTCAAACGTGTTTGGGCCGTCTTGGGCGCCTCTTGGGCCGTCTTGGAGCCATTCTGGGTTTCTTGGGGCCTCTTGGGGGACTCTTCGGCGGCTGTGGGCCGCTCTCGGGGGCCGCTCGGAGCCGCCTGGGACGCTGGGGGGACAGAAACAACGATGCCAGACATAGATGCTGTCCTCTGGGGATGAAGCCATGTTTCAGCTCGGGGCCCTCGAAGGGGCTCCCTTGGAGCCGCCCTGGTGCGTCTCGGGGGCCTCGTGGGTCTCTTGGGGCCTCTTGGGCAGTCTCTTGAGGGCCTCCTGGGGCGAAATCGCACCTTCCTGGGCGGGGTGGGGCTTTCAGACCCCCATCGGCGCTCCATGAGCGACTAGGGGTCGATCCATCCCCCCCGACCTACGGTCGACCCGTGTCATGAGGATGCGCGGCAAGGACGCAAGGGACTTGAGTCGGGAGCGGCCAAGAGGGGGGTGTCCAAGAGGGGGGGGTGCAAATCATGACCGGCGGCATGTGCCCGGCCCAGCGGGGGGACCAGGGACGTAATGAAATAAGAAGAGGCGCCATGAAATCTGGGGAAATATCGTGGCCCCCGCCATGATATCCACCCCCCCCTAGTCATCACCCCCTCTTTGCCACCCCCGATTGGAGGGCCATGTTAACGTTTCTCGAACGAGGCTGGCCAGCGAAAGTCGCTAGGGATGGGCCGAAGGGGCAAAGACGCATGGGTACCCTTGGGAGGGTTCCCCATCCTTACAATTACTATGCGGGTTGACTCTATACAGATCCCCCCCTTTGCCGTTGCCCCTGGGCTTGAGCAGAGACCGACCGTCCCGGCATCCCTAGAAGGCTGCCACCACATGTTCTTTGAAGCCAAGCATGGTCTAAGGAAAAAGCAATGTTCTTAGAACACGAACCCGATGTATCAAGACAAGACAAGCTCAGCCAGAAATGCTCTAAGCACACGTCGCACAAACCACAAGAGGTGTTTAGAACTTTGTTTGGTGGGCCTATCAGCAAGCCAGGACGCTTTGGGACGCACAAAGACATACTAGCACTAAATGTTCTCCTTGGAGGCGCGCGTCCGACCCAAATATATAGCATGCCCATCTTGTAGTAGATCGTTTCCCGACCGGTGTGGCCAAAAATCGCCCGCCACGACGCACATACTGTAAGATTGCTCGGTGCGCGCATCGCCCCCGGAGGGGCGACGCACATATATCGGCGGTGGACAAACCTCCCTTTCGTAGACCTCCCCTTAAAGAAAACGGCCTGGGACCGAAACCGACGGACCTGGACCCGCAAAAACGACGGCCGCGACGCCCCCTCGCGAACCGAAAGCGGCCAATTCCTCAATCGACGTGTCAGGGTAGGAGATCTGTCCACCCACGAATATAGTGTAAGTATATTGGGGCGACGCCGACGCTCCGCCACTGCCCGATGGGCGGCGGTGGCGGCGGCGGGCGGCGGGCCGTTTTTTTGCCAAAGTAAAGCCTTGCGGTCACGCCTGGTTAATATATCCTCGGGCCTCATGTGGTCTGATCACAACGAAAACTGCCTGGTTGATATACCCTCGGGTGTGATGTGGTCGGATCACAACGAAAACGGCCTGGTTGATATACCCTCTGGTGTGATGGGGTCTGATCACAACGAAAACTGCCTGGTTGATATATCCTCTGGTGTGATGGGGTCTGATCACAACGAAAACTGCCAGGACACTAGGTTCAGTCGACTAAGCTCAGTCAGTCAGGCGAGCGGCGGGCCGGCCGGCGGGGCCACGGGAAGTCCAAGAAGGACACCCTCTGCACGGCCATCGCGGGGGGGCGGGGCCTGCGGCGGGCGAGGGCAGCGGGGCTCGCAGGGAGGGGACGAACGGGGAGGGAGGAGGAGGGGAGGAAGAGGGGGAGGAGGAGGAGGAGGAGGAGGAGGAGGAGGAGGGGGGGGGAGGAGGGGACGGGGAGGAGGAGGAGGAGGAGGAGGAGGAGGAGGAGGAGGAGGAGGAGGGGAGGAGGAGGGAAGAGGAGGAGGAGGAGGAGGAGGAGGAGGAGGAGGAGGAGGGAGGAGGAGGGGAAGGAGGAGGAGGAGGAGGAGGACGAGGAGGAGGAGAAGGAGGAGGAGGAGGACGAGGAGGAGGAGGAGGGGGGGGAGGGGGGAGGGGGGGAGGGGGGGAGGGGAAGGGGGGAGGGGGACGGAGGGAGGTGGGGGAGGGAAAGGCAGTAAAGCGCAAACATTGGTACTGGTGCCGTGCTTGATGATTGCTGTGCCTCTCTGCCCCAAAGAGGCGGGCAGAAGAAGCCGAAGGCCGCGGCGAAGCTGAGGGAGGCAGGGCAGAGCGGAGGAGCGGGAGGGCGGGAGGAAGGACGGAGGACACCCCCGACCAGACCAGGGAGGAGGGGGCCGGCGACGCAAGCTTGACCGAGGCATTGCCTCGAAGGGGTGGAGGCCCTGACCAGCCCTGGGGAACTCCCGCCCGCATTGGCCCGGCTGGGCTTCCCTCCCCCTTGCCATCGCTCCGACGTCCATTCAGCGTGCATGCTTCGTTTTCGTACGTGTCTGTGTTGCTCGATGACCTTGTGGATGCCATGGCAGGGGAACACCCTGACATTCCGATCATTGACTCAAAATGTGTTTACCATGATTGAAAGTGCGTTTGAGGTTGACAAAAACATGGTTTACACGTGTAAGGCATGTTTACAACATGCTTTGAACATCCGGGCTCTATTTGGCAACACGTGTCCTCTCCAATGATCGTCGTCCACAACGATGATCCAGGGTGTTCCTCGATGGCCCTCGCCGAGGGGGGGGGAAACAATCTACATATGTATAGAGTATACAAAAACACAACAACGACAACGACAACAACAACGACAACAACAACAACAACAACAACAATCATTTTACCCGAACGCTCAGTGTTCTCACCAGTGCCAGGGTTTTCATACGACGCCCGCCAATACCCCCACTTTGTGGGGGGGCCGGTTCAAGCTCTACCACATTTCCAAACGACTCTTCGCCACCACCCACACCCAGCTTCCCGCCCTATGACGTTCGGACACTTCACTTCGTGGCATGCGGACGACCGTGGCTACTACACTGGCGCATGGTTTCAATGACTTCTTGTGGTAACATCTTGTGGAAACTAGCTTAGTATACGACGACGACGATTTGAAGGGCCTACGGTGCGAAAAATGATTTTATGTTGCGCGGTGCTAAAATTCCTACGAAACCCAATGGTTTTTGAAGATTTCGGCGTGCGCACGGAAAGAAAAAACGAATGTGTCCCGCATGGTATTATTTGACAGGGATGATGGCCCTGGCAGGTGCGCAACCGTTGTTGGAGAAGTTCGAAGCACGTGAAGAAGTTGATCGCAAAAGCCCGTTTGACAGAAATGTTTAAAAAAAGTTGGGTTTCCTGCAAATCCGCAAGAGCGCGCGGGATGAAATTGTGACACTTTTTTTTTTTTTTTTTTTTTTAAAAAAAAAAAAAAAAAAAAAAAAAAAAAAAAAAAAAAAAAAAAAAAAAAAAAAAAAAAATGATGTTTTTATGTTGAAATCGTTACGAACACTAAGGTTTTGGAAGGATTTCGTCTTGCGCGCGCGAATGTCCACTTTACCTTATTTTTTGCAAGGGATTCTTGAAGTTTGGTTATTTTAGAACAAGAAATTTCATTTTATAGTGTTTTTTGCAAGGGACAGCGGGGGGGAACAAAACAACCGGATCTGGATCACATCGTTTTACCTGAGGCTTCCTCACGAAAATGATGAAAATGCAGCTGCGGCCTAGGCGGCGCAGGGGGGGCGCGCACCAGGGGCCCCAACAATAATTATTCTTTAGAATAAATAATGTTCAACAACAATTACTAGCACGTGGGGACACTCCGTTCTCACCAGTGCCAGGGTTTTCATAGGAGGCGGGCAATACCCCCACTTTGTGGGGGGGCCGGTTCAAGCTCTACCAAATTTCCAAACGACTCTTCGCCACCACCCACACCCAGCTTCCCGCCCTATGACGTTCGGACACTTCACTTCGTGGCCTGCGGACGACCTTGGCTACTACACTGGCGCATGGTTACAATGACTTCTTGTGGTAACATCTTGTGGAAACTAGCTTAGTATACGACTTATACCCCTGTTCCAACAATGGGCACGTGTACCGTTTTCCGACGTTTTAACGTTTCTGTACCACACAAGCCAAGACCCTTATTTTGACTGGTATCACGTGCGTGGCGCCAGCATACCACAGGACTTGTTTCCGTTGTTGCGGCGTTTTATTCTCGGCGGCCGAGGGCGCAACCTATGGCGCAACCGCAAGGGATTCTGGCCCCTGGCAGGCGCGCGAACCCCGTTGCAAGAGCGTGCGAAAGTAGCTCGCGCGAGCTCATGTAACATAAATGTTGGAAAACCATTGGTTTTTTTAGGATTCGGACAGCGCGCGCGGGTGGAAATTTTGAAAAGTCGTGCAGGTGTTTTTCGAGGACCTACGGTGCGATTCGTGTGATTTTATGATGCGCGGTGCTAAAATTCTTAAGAACCCAATGGTTTTTGGAGATTTCGGCGTGCGCGCGCGAAGAAAAAACGAATGTGTCCCGCATGGTATTATTTGACAGGGATGATGGCCCTGGCAGGTGCGCAACCGTTGTCGCAGAAGTTCGAAAAAGTTGCTCGCAAAAGCCCGTTTGACAGAAATGTTTAAAAAGTGTTGGTTTCCTACGAATCCGCAAGAGCGCGCGGGATGAGATTTTGACATTTTTTTGTTGAAAAACCATTGGTTTTTTGATGTTTTTATGTTAAAATCGCTCCGAACACTAAGCTTTTGGAAGGATTTCGTCTTGCGCGCGCGAATGTCCACTTTACCTTATTTTTTGCAAGGGATTCTTGAAATTTGATTATATTAGAACAAGAAATGTCATTTTATAGTGTTTTTTGCAAGGGAAAACGGATTACAACAAAACAACCGGATCTGGATCACATCGTTTTACCTGAGGCTTCCTCACGAAAATGATGAAAATGTAGCTGCGGCCTAGGCGGCGCAGGGGGGGCGTGCACCAGGGGCCCAACAATAATTATTCTTTAGAAGTAATAATGTTCAACAACAACAGCAACAGCAACAGCAACAGCAACAGCAACAGCAACAGCAACAGCAACAACAACAACAACAACAACAACAACAACAACAACAACAACAACAACAACAACAACCCCCCCACCCCCCCACCCCCCAAAAAAACTGACAAAAAAACTCCGAGCGACGCCGAGACCCCTCTAGAAGGGGAGCGAAGAGGCGACCAGCGGGAGGAGCAGAGGAGTGGGAGGGAAGGGGGGAAGGGAGGGGACGAGGAGGGAGGAGGACGGAGGAGGAGGACGGAGGACGGAGGAGTAGGGGAGGAGGAGGAGAAGGGAAAGGAAGAAGAGGAGGACGGAGCAGGAGGACGGAGGAGGAGGAGGAGAGGGAGGGAGAGGAGGAGGGAGGACACGGACAGACGGACATGCTCATAGGATCCGTCGTCAGCCGCCCGTCTGGAACCGAACAACCTGTTACCTCAAAGCTTGGATCCCGAGGGGCGTTCCATTGTGGTTGCCAATTTCTTGACATCTGAACCGCACACACGCCCTGGAGCCACCTGGCTCTCAGGCAGCAGGCCACCCGAACATCGACCACCCAGGAGCCGGGCCGAAGGACCCAGATCCCTTTTAAGCCCCCTCTCCTGGTGCACCGCCTCGCTCGGGAGCAGACCCCTCACATAGGGCATTTGCCGATAACGGTTACTTCTCCACGCAGATCTTTGCCCAGTGTCACGGAATTCTTGATAACGCTGATTTGGGACCAATCGAAGCTTTATCATGGCATCCAGAAAGTCTCTGCCGCGGGCTCCGAGCCCAGGGACAAAACAGCACGCGCTGCTCATTCTGACAAAGACCCCTGCACCACGCGCAGGGCCAGGCGCAGACTGGCCAACTGGGCTACCGCATGAGCCCATCGGAGCGGCTGGGGGCTCACTCTCTGGGCTCACAGCTGGACGATGAACTTTGGCAGGGAGCGGTGCAATGCGCCTGGGGGGCGCACCTGCTACAATCACCTCTGCGCGCATGCACGCCATAGCGGCCCCGACGAGAGCAAAAAAGTTTGCCCCTAGGCTGGCGGGGGCGCTCGGCGGCAAACCTAATCCACGATTTCCTGTTTCCCGCCCTTTTCACCCTTCTCCTGAGCATCTTCCTCTTCGCCCTGAAGAGTGCCCTTGTTCACGTCCAGCGGAAGCACTGGATCGCCGCGGCGAGCTCCATCGGGTTGCACTTCGTGGCGACAACCTACCACGGCCGGTCAACCTCTGGCTGTCTCCTGATTGCTGGAATTGCCCACCGTAGCGGACCGCTTGACTGACGCCGCGAAGATCGCAACGCGCGGCGGGCCCCTCGCGTCGCAGACGACCACCTCTCCGTTCTCTGCCTCTCCCCACACAGGTTTCGACCGCACCTCGCAGGCGCGCCCTGCCGCGACGCGCGAGTCCGATTGTCCTCCGACGAGCTGCTCGAGAGCCAAGAACACCACTGCCCGCGCGCCCGCGAGCCGTGCGGGGCACATTATAACATCTTTAGCGGTTGGACAGGGGCGCGGCATGAAGGGCGTGGTGCCCGTGCTCAAAACTGGAGATTTGCGCTCCGATTTCACAAACCTCGGCGCTGCGACGACTGCCCTAATCAACATCAACCGCCCTGACCCAAGCATTCCCGAACGACCGCGATCCCACGTGAACGGCGATCACCCGGAACGCACTTTCGAAAATTCCGAGACGCGAAAAGCGCGATGCGATTGCCACATCGCCAACGTAATTCCCGAAATTCCTGAATTCACACCCGTTGGCGCAATGCAAATCAGAATGCCCGGGATTCCGAAACGACGTTGCTGCGAGTCCGGAGACGCTAGAACGTCTCCGAAAATCCGGATGTCCAAAGATCGGGCGTTCGCGTCGCCAGTCTGAATGGACGGCGGTCTTTATGGGGAAGCGCGAATTCGAAGATCCGGATTGCGTTTGAAGTGGTCGACGCGCAGCCAAGGCCGTTGAAATCGGGACGCAACGCACTTGCAGCGATTGCTGATGACATCGGCATCCTGAACACTCGCACCACGCCCCTCCATACCACGCCAATTTCAGACATCTGGAACTGTTGAGGCCCAGTAAAGCGACCGGCGTGCTGACCCCCCCCCCCTTCGCGACAGGAGGTGCGTCGCGCATTCGTCGCCCGTGCGCCGCCCGTGCGTCGGCCGCCGAAATGGCCAGCCGTCCTCTCGAACGTGCACGTCGCCCTCGCAAGGGGGCAATTTGGTGAGTGCGTCGCCAGCGCGGCGGACGCCCACGGGGCGGATCGCACGCGCGTCGCCCTCTCCACGGCCGCTGAAAAGGCCGGTCGCCTTCTGGAAACAGAAAGTCGCCCACGCTGCGGCCCTCTTGGCGAGAAAAAGGCGGCCGCTGGGCGACCTCGGCAGATCAGCAAATCCCCTAACATTACACATGCAGCGACGCTGCTGAACGCAGCCCGGCGATAGGCCAGCAGGTCCCCGCAGCCGCCGCCACAACCGCCGCAACCGCCGCCAGCACAAAACTACCGCCGCCACGATCACCACAAACGGATGCGACCGCAACCACATCCACCGCGACGATAACGACCAACACCAATTACCGCCATCACCACCACCACGACCACCACGCTTCTCGCGACCGCCACAACGACCGACACCAGCACGATCACCGACGTGACCACCACCAGCCCGCCCACCACCGGCGGCGCGACCGCCGCCGACGCGACCAAGGCGACGAACGCGACCACGACCATGATCACCAACATGACCATTACAGAAGCACCCGCCCACTCCGTCCTCCCCCCCCTCCCCCCCATTCCCCTGCTGGGCCGCCCTTGCCGCCGCGCCCGCCTCGCGCCCCTGCCCCTCCCCCCTCCTTTTCTCCTCGTAATCTTCCTCTGCCACCGCCGGCGGCGGGGCCGTTAGCGGAGGGCGGGGGCGCCGCTCGCGGCGACGCGCCGCGGCCGTGGAAGGGGGGCCGAAGGAGAACAGAAAATGAAGAGGGGCACGGGGCGGCAAGGGGAAAAAAACCAAGACGAGAGAACAGGGGGGAGGGACAGACAGAGGGTGGCCGGCAGAATGGAGGAGGAGATGGGGAGGAGAGAGGGAGACGAGGCAGGAGAGAGGACGAAGGAGGAGGAATGACAAAAGAGGAGGGACGACGACTAAGAAAAAGGGAACTAACAGGGGCAAGCGCCGCCCTTCCTGGCGCAATAGAGGACGCAGCCGCCGCCACTTGTGAACATCGCAAGCACGGCGGGCCGACGGCCGTTGCGCATTGCTGCTCGGAGACATGCTAGGGGCGGGCAAATTCGCGCATGCGTCGCGCATGCGTCGCGCGTGCGTCGCGCGTGCGTCGCGCGTGCGTCGCGCGTGCGTCGCGCGTGCGTCGCGCGTGCGTCGCGCGCGTGGCGCGCGCGTCGCGCGTGCGTCGCGCGGGTCGATCGTGCGTCGCGCGCTGGCAGGGGTGCGTCGCGCGCGGGTCGGGGTGCGTCGCGCGCGCGTCGCGCGCGCGTCGCGCGTGCGTCGCACGGGCGTCGCTCGGGCCGTTCGCGCGTCGCGCGCAGGTCGCGCGCGAATCGCTCGAAGGGCGCCGCGGGCTCCTGACGGCATGTGAACTGCGCGGCCCGCTGGCGAAACAATCAAGGGATGCGCGCGGCAATCGTAGAAATAGCGAGACACACACGTGAGAACAACGAACGCGAGGAGACCAATAGACGACATGGAGATGCAGCGCGCGCGGACTAATCCATTTCAAGCGCACGCCCCGTCAGATTTTGAACATCGGTCCGTCGCTGCAGCAATTTGGCGACGTCTCGCCCGCCGATGCATTGGGGGGGGGGAAAGAGGGCGGAAGTGAGGCGAGGGAAGGGCGGGCGGAAATGGGATCGGACGGGCGAGGAGGGGGCGCGCGGGGGCGGCGCAGCGGCGGCGGGAGCGATGGAAGGCGATCGAAGGGGGGCGGCGGGAGCGAGGAGGGTGAGAAGAAGTTCCAGGAGAGTGGAAGGACAACGGGGGGTGAGTAGGGAGGCGGGCAGGACGGCAGCCTGACACAAAAGAACTGAATACAAATTTTGCAAACGGGACAAAACGCGCAGCGCGTTGGACGAGGGGAAAAGAAAGGAAGAGGGGGGGGGGCAGGAGGATTGGCGCGAAACGACATGGGGGTGCGGGGCGCGATGCGACGGGGCGAGAAGGCGCCGCGTCGCGCGACGTGACGTCGCCCCGACCGTGGCGCGACGCGCACAGCCCCCAATCAACGCGAGGCGTCTTCGTCCTCAGCAACGGTTGGCGCCCCCGACAATGAGCACCAACAAATCCTCTTGCGCCGAATTGGGAACAGAACGCGTTGGTGGACAGTCGAACTAGGAGTGTGCCGCGACCGCCAAAATGGCTGCTGGTGCACCAGCGTCGGAAACCTATATATCGTCAGAGAAATTCCGAAGTCGCGCCATATGTCGCCCACGCACCCTGGGAGGCCGGGATTCGGGACAGAGACGCAAACCAGGGCCGGCGCACGGGCGACGCTCGGGCGACGCACTGAACGAAACTTACAGGGGGGGGGGGGGGTCGCTTCACTGGGCCTTAACATCTGGAACCCCACAAAATCCCAGACGCACCCAGGTGCCCAGGATTCCGCCGATACGAAGCGCCCAATCGCCATCACCACCGCGGGCAACCATTGCACGTCCACCTTTTTTTGGGGGGGCACCTCGGGAGCCAAGTCCTGCGCGCCCGCGCCCTCGCCCGCCGCCAGCCGCCCCAGCGCCGAAACGCGCAGCGCCCCGCCTCTTGGCCGTCGTCGGCGGCGGCGGGCGCCTCGCACGCACAAGTCTCAGATGGCGTCGATACAGACGGCCGCTGAGGCGGGCCCAGATCTGCAACCCCACGCCCGCGCACTGGGCGCTTCAACGTTTCGGCGTTTCGGGGGGATCAGACCGCGGAACTTCTTAGCCCCGCCCCCAGGAAGACAACGCCCCCCCCACACACACACACACACACACACACACACACACACACACACACACACACACACACACACACACACACACACACACGCGCACACGCGCACACGCACACGCACACGCACACGCACACACGTACACGCACACCATCAACGATCTGGCCGAATGTCTCTCCGCCACCATCCGCGAACCCAATGCCGTTTTGCGTGCCGCGCACAGACTTGCAGGCGCAATTACGTGTCCAGAATTTGGCATAGGTTGTTTCGAGTTCCTGCGGTTCAGTAGTTGCTTTTGAACCCTGGATGCAGCATCACCTGCACCTCCTTGCTCCTCAATCCACGCGCGTGCCCAGTCTCTCGGCACGTCCGGCACGGGATTCTCGGGGGCCACACTCGGCGGCGCATACCCTGGCGGAGGCATAACTACACGCGTCTGCATGAGCCCAGGAATCGGAGAAGTCCAACTCGATGAAATCAGGGCCTCTTCAGGGTCCACGAACCTGCACGGGCGCCCCGAGAGCTCTTCCATAACCGCTGCCCCATCCCCCATCGACCTCCAAGCCCGTTCACAACGCCCCTGGACCCGACGGGCCCGCGGTGCCACATGTTTCGCCAGCGGGCCCTGCAGAGCCCCTCGAAAGCGCGCGCGCTCATACTGGGGGAGACGACCAAAGAGGGCACGTATAAATTACTTGCTGCTGCCAGGGCATCGCGCAATCTGCCGGAGCCATCCCCACTGTCGGACGAGCAACCCTCGCTCGGCCGGGACCGGTCTCCAACGGTTCCACATCGTCGAATTATACAACGTCGTCGCGCGCTGGCCTGGACACTATGCGCCACGCCCCCCCACCCCACCCCACCCCCTCGCAAACGCACTCTGGCCAGGCGCGCAAAGTGCTCTGAAAGTGCATTACTTTTTCCGGTCGCAATCACCATCGCGCCCACTCCAATCCACTCAGTAGAGCACGTTGCACAAGCCTCATCCGAACCACTTTCGCCTACCTCCGCGGGAAGCTCAGGGACCAGAAACGACATGTCGAACAGAAACCAGCCGGCGCCGCCCCCGCCCCACGTGCCACCCGGGCCCCCGCAGCGCCTGACAGCGAGATGCGGGGGCCCTGGCATATTGTGCATCCATGTAGTTCACCTCCTAATCTGGGAACGCCGTTTTGGCGACGCCATCGTTTACCCCTCAGACGCCCATGCCCTGAAATATGGGCCAATGAAATATGTTTGCTGCTGTTGGCCACGCGAACCCTAATTACTCTTGCTCGTGTTCAACGAGATCATCCGACACCGCCATCCAGTCGAGGAGCCCCGACATGGTCACAAACCTGGAGACAACAGCGAAACCCAAAACATCTCCAGATTATTTAGACATACTAAAGCTCGCGGACATGTGTTGTCTACCTGAGCTGACGATCGAGAAGTCGAATGGGGTTCCTGAACCTCACACGTAGGAATCGGTCTCTGGATTGCCCCCCTCAGCAGGTTCACCACGACCGGGCCCCCCATCTCCAGCCTATCCACACCAGGCCGCAGCCATAACAGCTGCCCCTCGAAGTCGGCAAGCAGATATGCGATTCTCGATATCTGTGCATCGCAAACTGGAGGCCACAACACTCTGCACGCACGTGCCAGATGTGAAGCCAAGCTCCTCAATCTCGCCCGCAGCGGAAGCGTTGCTCATGTCCTTGAGGCTGGCCGAGAGGCTGCGCTGTGAACGCCGAAGTCGCCATGCCACAGCCTGCACCGTCAGGATGGCTCCAAGTCCATCCGGGCCTGGGGACCCGCTCTTCCATACTCCCACCGCCGCGCTGCGGTGCCGCTGCCATGGCGCACGCGGTGCGCGTCGCATCAAAATTCATTCCGCCCAACACCACACCCGCAACACAAATCACGCCAGGAGTCCCCACATCCGTGCATTAGCCCCCCGCGTTCCTTTAACCAGTCTGTTGCCCGAATGGAAACAGAACTGCCATATCCTTCCCGGTGGCGAATCCAGTGGTACACCTCGTCTGCGTCTTGGCTCTTGCACTGCCCATGGTAGCCGTTTGGTGTTTGTTCGATGTCTCTCCTCCATTTCAACTGCCAAGTCAGGCAACGGCTCCGTCGATGCATGCAACTGTGGTGCTGGAACCTCCTGTGCTGACATACCTCTTCGGCGTACAGGTTGCTGCCGTACACGTAGCCATTCGATGGATGAGAAGATCGTACAACGCGTCCGTCTTTTGGTGGGGCGAAGGTGCATCTTCCCGCCAACCGAGACAACTTCATCTCCAATGCAAAGTGTCTGGAACGCCACGCTTCATCAATCTCTCCTTCGATGATGCGCTTGCGAGTTGCTCGCTCCTGCCTTCTCTGTTGAAGTCGCATCCTCGACGATTCGTTGGGTGCATCCCCTTCTTCCTCGCTGCTCTCCTTTCGTCCGCAGTCCAGCACGCCGTCGTAGTAGATCACGCCGAGGGGCCGATCTCCATGCTATTCCTGCTCCATCACTGGGCAAAAAACGGCCAGCCTCCAGTAGCACCTTGTTTGGATAGTCCAGAGTATAGTCTGGATCTCCAGCACGCAGTATATCTGTCCATTGTCCGTCGTCCTTATCCAGAGCGTTCACCACCGACCTCAAACAATTCCTTTTGGAGTGAGGAGGGTGAAGGGCGGGGGGGGATACCAGAGGGGGTGGTAGCGAATCCGCTGCAGGCAGCTGCGTGCCGTGGAACTCCCCCTGGTGTCTCAATCCCCCTCCCCTCTAGAGGCCTCCTCGATCCAGGAAAGAAAAATGAAACACCAACACGCAAGTAAGCGTCGATCTCCAATAAAAGATGATGACGCATTGGAAATGGTGGGGAAGCCGAAAATCCAGTGAACATTGAAACATGGGGGAATCATGTAACTCGTGTGCACTTGTGTGTCTGTGTCTCCCTGGGCGCCTGTATTGATGGGGTCCGCGTAGACATGGGTCGAAGGCTTGCACCGACTCGCCGATGCATCGCCGACGCATCGGCGGTGCATTGGCGACGTCGGCGTGGAGAAATCGGGCTTCGGGGATCTCCTGACCTGGGCCAATCCAGACCCGGGTCAGTCGGGCCTTGCAGAATCCTGCCAGACCCTGCAAGATCCTGCACCCGAACCCGGGTCAACGCCAAGGATCCTGCAAGATCCTGCGGGGTCCTGCTTCCAAACCCAGGTCGGTGCAACCCTGGTCCTGCAGGATCCTGCCAGATCGGGCTCTCAGGCTGACCCCCGTCTGCACTGACCCCGTCTCGAGGCTCCCGAGGAGGAGGAGGAGGAGGAGGACGAGGCGGAGGAGGAGGAGGAGGAGGAGGAGGAGGAGGAGGAGGAGGAGGAGGAGGAGGAGGAGGGGGGGAGGAGGAGGAGGGAGGAGGAGGAGGAGGAGGAGGAGGAGGAGGAGGAGGAGGAGGAGGAGGGAAAAGGAGGAGGACGTGGCTCCCGACGGAGGGGGAGAAGGAGGAGGCGGAGAAGGAGGGGGAGGAGGGGGAGGAGGAGGAGGGGAGGAGGAGGAGGAGGAGGAGGAGAGAGGAGGAGGAGGAGGAGGAGGAGGAGGAGGAGGGGGAGGAGGAGTAAAAGGAGGAGGAAAAGGAGGAGGACGTGGCTCCCGACGGGCTCCTCGTCGAGCCGCACCGGCGATGCCTCGGCGGTGCGGCGCGAGCCTCCGTGCCCCCCCCCCCCCCCCCAGGAGGGCCGGGGCTCCCCGCCAGGGCCCCCGAGGGAGGCGGGGGGACGGAGGGCCTCCGAGCTCGGAGGCGTCGAGTCGGGTCGGGGGCACGGCCTCCTGGCGAGCGGGAGGACGTGCTCTTGCCCTCCTCGGTGGACGAAACAAGGTTCCCGAAGGACTGGGACGAAACATGAAGGCGAAAGATGAAGGCGAAAGATGCGGAACGAAAAATGATGACGAAAAAGTCCTCCTCGGGCCAGGATGAGAAATGAAGAATCACACAATTACCCTGGCGACGTACCCAACCCCTGCGCAGTGCGGGGCAGGAGTAGCTTGGGAGATTTGACGAGAAGTCGGCGACGTGGCAAGGACGTATATACTTCTGCGAACGGCATTCGGAAGGTTCGCAGGTCCCCGATCAAGGGAAACACGATGAGTAACTCAGTGAACCCCTGAGCCACTAAGGAAGACGCAAGGTCCAAAAGGAGATGGTGGGCAAGGGGCTTGAAACGTCGGCGGGGCAGCAAGAACATGACATGGTCCCCCAGGGACGGCGAGACCCCGCTCAGGTCTGCGCAGTGCCTCACTCCGCTGGACCCACCAGCAGCCTTCGAACGTGGCGAGCCCATCAGCAGCCCTCGAAAGTGGCGACAGTTTCACAGATCGCAGCCCCCCAAGGACGGGGAGGTCCCGCTCAGATCCGCGCGGTGCCTCACTCCGATAGACCCACCAGCAGCCGTCGAAAGTGTCGACAGTTTCGCAGATCGCAGCCCCCCAGGGACGGGGAGGTCGGCGACAGTTTCGCAGATCGCAGCCCCTCAGGCAAGGCAAGAGGAGACAAGAAGGAGGGGGGGGCAGGGGGCGGGAAGCAGGAGGCGAGAGGAGGAGGAGGAGGAGGAGGAGGAGGAGGAGGAGGAGGAGGAGGGAGACGCGACGGCGGTGCCCTATCCAAAACGAATACCCAACCAAGGAGGGTTGGGAAAATTACTCCAACATAGTCTGAAAGAAACGACACGTCGTCGCCAGAGTATTGTCTTCTATTTTGAATTCTCCCCCTGTAGTCCTGTAGAGGGGCATGCCCGACCTGACGCAAGATGCCAGCTCGCCCCCGCTCCGTGCGCGCCTCGGCGCCCGCGCGCGCGCGCCCCCCGCCTCCCCACCCCCCGCCGCCCGGGCACTGGGAGGCACTGGTGGGCGGAGGGGGTGGGAGGGCGCCACTCAGTAGAGGCGCTAGAGGGTGGGGGGGGGGAGGGAGGAGGAGGGGGGGCGGGGGGAGCGAGGGGAGGGCGCAACGCCCCCCCCGTGCCCAGAGGGCAGAGCAGCGCTCCCGACGGGCCCGAGGGCCGAGGGCCCAGGGGGCCCGAGGGCTCGGGGGCTCGGCGGCCGCGGAGCCCCGCAGCCGAGCCCACAGGGGCGCCGCGCCCTCGCCCAGCGGCAGGAGCCCGCCGGGGCGGAGGCAGGGCGGCCGCCGCTCGGGAAGGCGCCGAGGCCCCGCGGGCCTGCCGCGGGGCCCGGCGGCCGGGCGCCCGAGCCCCACGAGCCCCCAGTGGGGAGGGGCCCGGCGCGGCCGCGTCCGGGGCGGGAGGCCCGCTCGGGAGGGCGCCCTCGGGCGCAGGAGGGGAGAGCTCCTCCTCCTCCTCCTCCTCCTCCTCCTCCTCCTCCTCTCCTCCTCCTCCTCTCCTCCTCCTCCTCCTCCTCCTCCTCCTCCTCCTCCTCCTCCTCCTCCCCTCCTCCTCCTCCTCCTCCCTCGCCTCCTCCTCCTCCTCCTCCTCCTCCTCCTCCTCCCGCCTCCTCCTCCTCCTCCTCCCGCCTCCTACTGTGTCCGGCGCAGATGGGTCCGCGGGAAGAGGTGCCATAGCCCCACTGGCTGGTGCCTCGATGCAGCAGGCCTGCGCGCCGAAGGCAGCAGCTGCGCACGGGTGCAGCCGTGCATCGTGCCTGGCACGCGATGGTCGCGGCCCGCGCGGCAGCTGACTCTAAGTGCCAGACCACCCTCACCCAACCCGAAGACCCCAATTTCGGGTTGGGGGGGGTACGAGCTCCGCGTGTGCTTTGACGATGTTCGGACGCACCCCCCACTGGGGATGGAGGGCACATTGGGGCCTTCGGGCTGGGTCGGGGAAGTTTGGTGGGTGGTGAGCAGTTCGCGCCCCCGCCCCCCCACTGGGAATGGAGGACACATTGGGGCCTTCGGGTTGGGTTGGGGAAGTCTGGCGGGTGGTGAGTGGTTCGCGCCCCCCGCCCCACCCCACCCCGCAATAGTTGCGCACGACTGCACGCCATAGCACACGGCCATAGAACGATGGCACCTCCCTCCCACCGCCGACCCTTCGGCGCCAGACCCACTGCTCCGGTTAAGAAAACCGGCATCGAGCCCAGGGGAGAGGGGGGCAAAGCAATTTCAATGGAACGGCAATCTGCACGTTCTGGGGTCAAAAGAATCTGCTGATTGATAAACATGGCACAGCGCCTCTAGGTGGAAAGGCCGACGCGGCGGGCCTTCCCAAGAAGCTCGGCCGGCCTTTGGCCTCTGGAGCTTCGTGAGCCTCCTCGGGAGACCCGCAGACACAGACGCCTTCTCGGTAGGCCGGGCGGGTTCTGCGAAGCCCCGCCGCTTTCTGAGCAGGCCTGCCCCCTCAGTCCCCCCCCCTGGGCTCGCCGCTCAGGGAAGGACTGCTCCGAACTGCCAGACGCCTCTTCAGATTCACCAGGCTGAAGCGCAACCACCGCGCACTCGGCACAGAAGCCACGAGTACGCCATGGCCCTTCAGAGCGCACTCCTCCTGAGGACTGGGTATCTTGGCAGGGAGAAGGGCTTCATGGCGCCACACATGGCCCAAGCGCGTAAGAAGTTCTGGCTGGCGCAGGGAATAAGAGAGGGGAGGAAAACGAAAGATCTTCGACGATGACGACGACGACGACCTTTGGAATCGTCTGGGAGGTTCCCGAGGACATCCGAGAACTTTCGAGAACCGCTGAAAGCCTGCGGAAGCCGGCGAAGGCCGCCGAGTGATCGGCGGCGGCGGCGAGGACGACGGCGACTTCGTCGAGGACGACGACGGCAGCGGCGGCGGCGGCGGCGGCGACGGCAACGGCGACGGCGACGGCGGCGGCGGCGGCGGCGGACGCCGACGACAAGGCCGCCGCCGCCGCCTCGAGTGCACGCCGCGCCTGGCGCCCCCGCGTTCGACCCCGCGGCGCGCCCGCCGCGCGCGGCGCCCGCCGGCCGCCCGGGGTTCCGACCGCCCGAGGCGCCCCCCCCGGGCGGCCGAGGTGCGCGGCCCGCCGGGGGGGGGCCGCGGAGGGCGCGCCCGCGGCTGCGGCTGCGCGGCGGGGGCGGCTGCGCGGAGGGCGGCGGTTCGCTCGCGCCGCCGCCCCCGGAAAGCCGCTGGAAGCTGCGGCGGCGGCGGCGCGAACGAGCGGCCCCGGCGCGGAAGCGGCGGGGCCCCCGTTGTGGTCTCAGGGCCAACGCGCCGTGGGGCCGTCGGCGGCGGCGGCGGCGACCGCGGCCACGAGGACGACGGGGACGGAGAGGGAGGCTTTGGAGAACCCCGACGACGACGACGACGACGACGACGACGACGACGACGACGACGACGACGACGACGACCGACGACCGACGACCGACGACCGACGACCGACGACCGACGACCGACGACCGACGACCGACGACCGACGACGACGACGACGACGACGACGACGACGACGACGACCGACGACCGACGACCGACGACCGACGACCGACGACCGACGACCGACGACCGACGACTGACGACCGACGACCGACGACCGACGGCCGACGACCGACGACCGACGACGACAGACGACGACCGACGACGACGACGACGAAGACGGCGACGAGGAAGCGCGACTGCAGCGCACGCCAACCAGGGAAGGAGGGAGCGAGGATGAGAAGGGGAGAGGGGGCAGGGAAGGAGAGGGGCGGGCAGGGCGGGGGGGGAGGACGGGGAACTGGACGGGGAAGGGGGATCGGGACGGGGACGAATAGAAAGAAAGACAACAAGGAGGCGAAGGAGGAGGGGGCTGGGGAGTAGGGTGGAGGCGTGGCATGGCAGAGCATACACTCCGACGAAGCCGACGTTGCGTGGCCAACGAGAATTGTTGGGGTTCCCCCCTGGTTGCACAGCTCGGCTGCCCCGACGGACTGGCGCCAACGGCTGCGCACAGCGCATCAGCCGACACACGATCAGCAATGAATCGCTACAGCGGAAGCCCGACCACAAGAGACCTTCCACAAGAAAGCCCACCCTGAGACCCCAGGACGCCCATCGATTTTTGAAGTGGGAACGTCACGCTTTCCGTCGCGAAACCATCACAACCCAAGAAACCCAGAGCACCTGGAGGCAAGCGTGGCGCTTCTTGGCGTGGGCCTCCACTGTAGCCTCCCGGGGGGGCAGGAGGCGGGGCAGGACAGGGGCCTCCCTGATGGGGTCCGGGTGGATGGGGTCGGAGGATCGCGCCGCGTCGCCGGCGCATCGCCGACGCATCGGCGACGCACCGGCGCGGAAAAACACCCGGGCCCGAGAGTGAGCCGCATCGCCGAGGAATCAGCGATGCATCAGCGACGCGGCCACTGCGGGGGGCCTGGACAGGAGGAGGCACGAGGGAGGAGGGCATTGAGCAGGGACCAACCGTCCTGGCATTCCTATAGGCCTACCACGACATGTTCTTCGAACCCAGAAACGTTATGATAATAAAAACGGTTGAAGTAGAGGCTCTTTTCCCTCGCAAGCGCGCGAAAGGCCAAAGGGGCCCCCTCCCGACGCGGCCAGAGGCCCCTGCGCCAAAACAGCGGCGGGGGAGATGCAGGATAGCATGCCAGTGCCTATCATCAATTCTGACTCTCACCTTTTTCCCTGCCTCGAACCCCGTCCGCCCACGCCCAGATCTCTGTGACCCGGGAGCTGTGCGGCGGCACCTACACGCACAAAATACAAGGACTGTGAAACGCATGGATTGGCGAGGCTTCTGCTCGAACGAGCAAGTCACCGGCCGCTCACGTGGATTCGCGGAGCTCTTGCTCGCGCGGCCGGGGCCGCCAGCCACCAATTGGGCGCGCACTCTCGGGGCCCGCTATCTCCCTGGCCACCGCTCAGAGAGGACTCCGCGCAGGCGTCTTCATCATCCTCTGCCACAGAGCCCCAAGGATAGCACGGGTCGCTCATTGACTCGTCGCCATCATCGGCGCTCCGTCGCGGTTCTCGTCGTCTCCCCGCTCGTCGTTCCCAGCGCACCTCGGCGCGCCGCCCTCTCGTGGCTCTCTCCGCGCCCTCTCGTCGCCATCGGAGCTCTTCCGCAACTAGCTCCACCAACTCCGCCATCCGCATTTTCCAACTGCTCGGCTGGCCAGCTACGCTCCGCGCTGTGCCCGAGCGGGTCGGCGGCCCATGTTGCCGTTCGGATCGGAGCGTGGTTTCGGTCCACGGCGCGGGCCCACGGCGCCGCCACTCCTGTCGCTCCTGGAAAAGGGCTCCACTGCCTGCCCTGAAGGTTCCGTCCGTGCCTGGTCTCACGACTGGCCCACGACGCGCTGGGCCCGCCCCGCTGGGCGCCGAGGCACTCCTGGCGCTGGCGCAAACCGTGCGAGTCCAGCGGGGCGCCTCCCTGTCCTCAGGTCCTCCCCAGGCTTGGTTGGACCATCAGTAGGCTTTGGAAGCACCGCCTCCCTGCCCAGCGTCCGACGACCTCCCTTGCCACTCTTCCCACGCGCCGCCTGTGGCAGACTCTGGCCAAGCGCGGCGGCTCCGGCCACCGCCCGCTCCGCGGGTCGCGGGGCGACTGTTCGTGATCGAGAGCCCGCCAGTCAGCTGCGCGGCCAGCTCCGCTGGCGCATCTTCTCTCCTCCGCATCGGTCTGCCACTAGGTTCGGACGTCGCGGTCCCTTTCTGCTCCGCATCGTTTTCTCCGCTGCGTGGCGGCGTCGCGGACAGATCGCGCGACTGCACCCGCGAACGGTCGGGGGGTGTCATCCTGTGCCCGCGCTGCATCGCCATCGTACTGGGTGGCGACGTTGCCGGAACTCCGTTCCTCGGCGCGCCACGCCATCGCCCTGGCTGCCTCCGCCAAGGCGTTTTCGTCACGCTCCACGGGGGATCCCGCACCTGCGTACGGACTGAACATCGTGGCTGTAAAGTTCGCTGTCACGCAAGGCGCGGCCGCCCACAGGCGCTCCGCAGTGTGAAACGCCACCGACGCTCTTCACGGCACCGCCGTGTGTCTTGTCCTGACTTCCAGGCGCAGCTTACGCAAGGAGCGGCCGCTCCCTGGCGCTCCGCACTGTGAAGCGTCACTGGCGCTCTGCACGGCACCGACGTGTGTTTTCTGCCCTGCCTTCCAGGCGCAGCCGCGTCACCGACGCGCAAGGGCCGACGTCACAGACGCTCCGCACAGCACCGCTGTGGGCTTGCTGCCCTGATTTCCAAGCACAGCAGTCCGTAGACCCTTGGAACGAACCAGCTTCACTGAAGCTCCGCTACAAGTGTTGAAATAGAGGTATGTTTCCCTCGCAAGCGCGCGAAAGGCCAAAGGGGTCCCCTCCCGACGCGGTCAGAGGTCAGAGGCCTCTGTAGGAGCCAAAACGGCGGGGGGGGAGAGGCAGGAGAGCATGCAAGCGCCGATCATCTCAGAACATAAACCCGACGAGTTAAAACAGGACGGCTACACCCAGAAATGTTCAAACAACATTGCGCGCAGACCACAAGAGGTTCTTAGAGCATTCTCTGGTGGGCACGTAGGCGAGCCAGGATGCTTCGTCACTGCTTGACTGTGGGGGGCCTCGACAGGAGGAGGCACGAATCGGTCGCGGCCAAGTCCATGAGGGGGGATGGCCGGCGGCACGTGCGCGGCCCAGGGGGAGGGCAAAGAACGCAATCAAATGAGAAGAGGCGCCGCGAAATCCGAGGAACGATCATGGCCCCCGCCATGATATCCCCCCCCCCCTAGTCTTAAGTCGGGCGTGCCCCCCTAGAGGATTTTGAGCGAAAAAAAAAAGATACTCAAAAAAATACCCGCCCAATACTCAAAAATAGTTTATACGAGTCAGATTTTTAAAAAATCGCCCCCAGACTATTGTTGGACTATTTTTGAATACCCCCCCTGTAGAGGGACAGGCCCAACTTTTAGCCCCAGCCGTCCCCCCCCCTCTCCTTGGCCGCCCCCGAACGAGGGCGCGCAGGCGGAGGCCCCGAGGCCACAGCTGGCTCCCGCGCTGCCCCTCTCCGGCGCGCCGCCGCCAGGGGGCGCGGCGGGGCCGACGCGCGCAGGGCCCCTGGGCGCTGCGAGGGCGCCGGCGATCGGCTCGCACCAGTCGTGGCGCTGAGCTTTTCACACGAGCCTCCGTCCTCCCTCCTGTGGGGGGAGGACGTGGCGGATCAGGAGGAGGAGGACGAGGAGGAGGAGGAGGAGGACGAGGAGGAGGAGGAGGGAGGAGCACGAGTAGGCAGGAGGAGGGAGGAGGAGGAGGAGGCAGGAGGGGGAGGAGGACTCCAATCCACGTCTACGCAGCGTCAAAGAGGAGGAGGAGGTGGTGGAGGAGGAGGTGGAGGTGGAGGAGGAGGAGGAGGAGGTGGAGGAGGTGGAGATGGTGGAGGAGGTGGTGGTGGGCTCCCACCTGGCACTACCGCCACTGCGTTGCTGGGAGCGACACGTTCCACTTCCGCTGGCCTCCGCGAACCTTCCGTTGCCTTCGCCGCCCGCGAGCAGCAGGCGACCGGGGGTCGACGCGTCCCCCCGCCCCCTCCCGGCAGGGCAAGAAAAAAAAGAATACAGACATCAGGTCGGGCATGTCCTCCCACAGGCAGATGTTCGACTATCTATATAAGTGTGTACATATATATATATATATATATATATCAAGAGCTGCCAGAACAAGTGCAACCAAAAACAATAACAGTCGAAAAATCGTCCGCTGACTAGTTTCGGCTATTGTTGAATGTTCCTCCTGTCGAGGGGCATGCCCGAATGAAGATAAGCATCACAACTCTGATATCCGCGCAGATTCCTCTGGGCATGGATTAACCGATCCCTCTTATACCCACTGGCATGTCCTGGGCCCCACTGGCCGATCCAGCCCCCTGGATGGGGATGTAGGCTGTTCCCTTCGGCTTTCGAGAGGCATATCCCCAACTGGGGTAGTAAGATGGTAGGGATCGGGATTGGGATCAGGATGGGGTTAGGGATCGGCTGAACGACACTGACCCTCGGATCGGCGCTGGAGCCCCCTGGCGGCGCCTCGGGCGCCGCCCCTAGCAAACTCCGCGGGCCAGGGAGGGGGTCCAGCACCGATCCAGGAAATCTGCGCAGAGGAGGAGGAGGAGGAGGAGGAGGAGCAGGAGGAGCAGGAGGAGGAGGAGAGAAGGAGGAGGAGGAGGAGGAGGAGGACGACGAGGAGGAGGGAGGGGGGAGAAGGGAGGAGGGGGAGGAGGAGGAGGTTTTAGGACCAGTCCTATGCACCGCCGAGAGAAGGGGGGGGGGACAAGAGAAGGGGGGGGGGACAAAACTAAAGACCTTTCGCGGTGGCCCTCCCCCAAAAGTCACAACAACACAAAAGCAAGCACGAAGAGCACCAAAATACGCTCCCCAAACCCGACCTCGATCTTATACCTCAGTCCGACCGTGCGTGAGCCCATACCCCCTAAAGTTGACTACCTACCAGACCGACCCAACCCAACCCGAAGACCCGAATTTCGGGTTGGGGGGGGGCACGGGTTCCATATGTGTTTTCTCGATGTTCCCCGACCCCCCCCAACTGGAAATGGAGGGCAAATCGAGACCTTCGGGTTGGGTTGGGGTGATTTGGTGGGTGGTGAAAAGTTGCCCCTTGATCTTCGGGTCCCAACTCGACTCGCCGGCGGCCGCTCGGGACGAGCCGGGCAGCCCCACAGCACTCTTCGTGGCGAGGCGCAAGCGCTGGAACGCATCCCCCGAGGCCGGCAGGCCGCCGGGAACAGACGGAAAAGCCAGAAAACCTCGAACCCTGGGCTGTCCCCGTGAAAAACAGCCTATCCCCCCTGAGGTTAGCCTACACCCTGCGAAATGCTTAAGAAATCATGGGTTAAGAAATTCATAGTCTCAGATTTTGAATAAAAGCCCAGAATGTCTATTCAAATCTTGGGATTTACTTTAAAAATTGAGAATAATCGAGACTCTGGCCGAAAACATGGGTTTTCTTAAGCATCGCCTAGAGTGTATACGGTCGGACCTCAGACATAATAACCCCCTTCAAAAGCATGAGACCCTCCGCCAGCCAAAACACCCTAAAATTGAACATGACTCGAGGGGAACCCTGGAAAGTCTGTAGAATCCCCCCAACAGGGGGTAACTAGTCATGTTTCCGGCGGCCTTATTGAAGGACTGGGACCCCACCAATAATCAGGCGTATCTAATCATTTGCCACCGCGGCACCCGCCACGCAAAAAGAGGAGGAGGAGGCGGAGGAGCAGGAGAAGGGGGGAGGAGGTTTTAGGAAAGGGGGAGGAGGTTTTAGGACCAGTCCCATTCACCGCCGGTAGAAAATGGGGGACCAATACCAAAGGCCTTTAGCGGCCACCCTCCCCAAAAATTCACAACAACACCCTCACGAAGACGAAGACGAAGAGCTTGGAGAGTACCCTCCCAGAACCGACCTCGATCTGATACCTCAGTCCGACCGCACCTGAGCCGATCCCCCTCTAACTGACCACCTACCAGACCACCCCAACCCAACCCGAAGACCCGAATTTCGGGTTGGAGGGGATAAGGGTTCCACATGTGTTTTTTCGATGATTCCCGACACCCCCCCCACTGGAAATCGAGGGTAAATCTGAGCCTTCGGGTTGGGTTGGGGTGGTTTGGTGGGTGGTGACTAACGTTGCCCCTTGGCCGTCGGGTCGTTCGGCTCTCCGGCGGCGGCTCGGGACGATCCGGGCAGCACAACTCCAGAGCACTCCCGGCGAGGCGCAGCCGCTGGCACGCATCCCGCAGCTGGGACACACGCCGGGAACCGACGAACCGACGGAACCGCTGTCCCCCCCAGCATCAGCCTTTCAATGTCAAGGCTTCCAAGGCCGTTCATGGAGTGATCATGCAGCCTCGCAGGCACATGCCCTTGCACAAATCCCCTGCTGGGCCAAAGTGAAACACATGGACGCGCCTGCAAGCACATTCGGCAAATAGAACCTTGTTCGCACTCCCCCTCGGTTTGGACGCCCGGAATGGGTACGGAAAAGGTGGGCACAATGCTCAACAGCAAATGTTGTCCCAGACCAAGAGCGGCCACTGTGGGGCAGGCGGCCTTCTGTCTCGAATGGGCACAGGCCGCGGCGGCGCGGACAGCGAGTCCTGTTCAAAGTGAACAGGAACTGCTGTTGGGCACTGTACACATTCTTTCCGTACCCATTTCCTTCGTGCAGAGACCCGGAGGTTAACCTATCCCCTCCTGAGGTTGCCATCCCGAGGCTGGAAAACCGCCGAGAACCGACGAGAATCACGAGCGGCGCACACATCTGCCTCCGCGCCCTCGCGGTCTGGATTCCGGGGCGCGACACCTGCGGAGACGCGGTCGCGCGGACGCGTCCCGCCGAGGGTATATCCGCGGGGTCGCGGCCCGGGGGCCCAGCCCGCGAGGCCGCGGAGACGGCCGTCTTTTCCTCCGAGGGGCAACGATCGGGGGGGGGGGCAGGCACACGTGGGGAAGCATCAACCCCGAGGGGGCGGCACATCGCCGATAGGTCGGCGACAGGCCCCCGATCGCAGCTCTCCACGGCCCTGGGCAGGCTGGATGCCAGGGGTCCCTCCTCCGCGGCGCAGGGGAGGAGGAGGAGGAGGAGGAGGAGGAGGAGGAGGAGGAGGAGGAGGAGGAGGAGGAGGCGGAGGAGGAGGAGGAGGAGGAGGAGGGAGGAGGAGGAGGAGGAGGGGGGCGAGGGGGGAGGGAAAAGAGGAGTGGGAGGAGGAGGGAGAGGAGGAGGAGGAGGAGGAGGAGGAGGAGGAGGGAGGAGGAGGAGGAGAGGGGAGGGGGAGGAAAAGAGGGAGTGGGGAGGAGGAGGAGGAGGAGGAGGAGGAGGAGGAGGAGGAGGAGGAGGACGGGTCGCCCAAGCCCTTCGGAGAAACCCTCCATCCCGAGCCCCGCTCCGCCAGCGTCGGGCGCTCGCTCGCCCGCCGGGGCGGGGCTCGGCTCGGAGCGCAGGGCGGGGTGCCCCGCCAAGAGGGCCAGGCGGCGGTCGGGCAGCGGCGGGGGGCGCGCTCCAACGACGCGCAGGCCAACTGCTCACAAAGGGCCTGGATCCGCCGCGGGTGATTGACGACCTATTACATGTAGGGATACTCCAGATTTCGTAGTAAAGGGAGGGGGGGGTCTCATTTCGGGGGGGGGGGGGTCTCTTCCAGGCCATCTTGGAGGGCCTGGGGGGTCTGGGGGCGATGTTTTGGAGGGTTCTCTCCCACGGGAGACGTCTGAAATGGGTTGTCTTGGAGGGTCCAGACCCCCTCCCTTTTATTACGAAATCTGGAGTAGGGATACATGTTTTTGTTCGGCCGTTTGCGAATAGGCACTTCGCGAGTAGCGGAACGCGCCTGGTGACCATCGGCGACCACCAGGCGATTGAAGGTCGACGCATCCCCCCTGTGCCCATCCCCCCCACCGTTGCCCCTGATCTTCGCCCACGAGAAAACTGTTTTGCCTCGGCGGCTAGGCAGGGGACGTCTGCGCTGGCGATGGGATGCTTGAATCGGGGATGGACAGACCCCCCTTTAACAAAACGTGGTTTAGTGAAAACGACCTGAGGCCCAAACCTGGCGGGCGCAAGCCTGGAAAATATCGGCCACGGCGCCATCTCGAGAACCGAAAACGGACAATTCACTAATCGACGTGTCACTGTTGGGGGTTCTGTCCACCCCTGATTGAACGGGGATGCCGCTGGAGCGAATCTTGCCACCATGCCCGAGGAGGGGCGAGGAGAGGCCGCGGCCGAACGACAACAGGGACGGGGCGGGCGGCTCGGGGTTCAGATCGCTCCCCGAACACACGAGAAATAACCAAAAGATTAAAAAGAGAAAACAAAAAAAAAAAAAAAACAAAAAAAAACGACCGTGTGCTCGCGAAGGCCGGCGCCGTCCGGAGGCGCCCTTGGGCGCGGCGATCGTGGGCACGCGCGGCGCGGCCCGCCGGCCCGCCGCGCTGGCGGCGCCGGCGGCGCGCTGGCGGCCGCCGCGCGCGCCGCGGCTACAGGAACTGCGTCGCGCGCCGCCGCGCGCGCGGCGCCGGAGGCCGCCGCGCCGCCGCCGGCCTCTCGCGGCGAGCACGGCGGCCACGCGCGACGGCGACGACGACCGCGACCACGAGCACGAGCACGGCCACGCGCGACCACGGCCACGACGACCACGACCAGGACCACGCCCACGACCACGACCACGACCACGACCACGACCACGACCACAGGCGGCCACGGCGACGACCTCGATTGTTTACCACGACGACCACAACGAGCGCCGCAAGGGCTCGCCATAGACCAAGAAGAAGGACGCTCCCAAGGGCTGGCTACGCATTTCCCCTTTGCGAAGAAGCCCTGACAAAGCACGGATCGCCTCTTCCTCCTTGGTGTGGTTCGGAATTCCCTCGTCCTTGATACGGAGAACCAAGATGGAGGCCAGGGGCAGAACTCTGCACATCGTGATCACAATTCGCAAGATCCTGCTGAGTCGCAAGCACCGCACGCACGGGACGACTCGGAAGGAGAGCATCATCATCATCATCATCATCAACAACATCATCATCATCACCATCATCATCATCATCATCATCATCATCATCATCATCATCAGCAGCAGCAGCAGCAGCAGCACCATCACCAACACAATCAGAATCATCATCGTTACCATCCTCGACATCCTCCATCAACACCATAACGACCAGAATCATCATTATCCTGATCAACCCCGTCATCCAGTATGCATCATCCAGTATCCATAATCAGAAGCTGTATCATCGTCGTCATCGTCAGCATCATCAACATCATCTGCATCATCTTGATCATCCTCACCATCATCATCCTCAGCCTCATCCTCATCCTGCTCCTCCTCCTCATCCTCCTCTTCCTCCTCCTGCTCCCTGGGCCGATTAAAAGGGAGGATAGCAAAGGGGGGTAGTGAATCGGCTCACGCAGCTGGATTTCCCAGCGCCGCCTGGCGCCGGAGGCGCCAATAGATCGAAGAAAGCGCTCAGCGGCGAGGCCGAAACCGGCTGTACGCAGCACAGTTCGTACCCACCCCCCTTCCCCAGTCCCCCGTGTTCTCGTCCGACCCGAGAAACGAAGGAATGCAGCAGCAATCCACATCCAACTTCGAAATCGGATCGGATCCAGTCGTTCGTCGGATCAGACCACACCGTCACGGGGTCGGAATCAAATCGGATCAGCCTCACAACAGCCGAGCATCGAGATGCACCAGATCTTCGGAACATGTGAGCCAAATGGGATCGGGCGGGCCGAATTCGATATCGAATCGAATCGGATCGGATCGGATCGATCCTGGAAAGGCAAGCAAGCAAGCAAAAGACTGCGTGCACCAAACGGCACGTTAATATGGGAAAAGATGACCGCTGTTATGATCACTCACTCTGTGGTCTGTGGCTCAACAGTGAATCCAGCAATGAAGTCAACAAAGGGCCTGGACAGGAGGCAACGGCGCCGATATGCCTCTCTCCCCCGATCCCCCGGGCAGAGGGCGGCGGCCGTAGGCGGAAATGCAGCATCAGCATCATCAGCAGCATCAGCAACATCAGCATCATCACCTGCACCAGCACCACCATCATCATCATCATCATCAGCACCATCATCATCACCGTCATCATCAGCAGCAGCAGTGTCAGCATTGTCATCGTAATCATCATCGTCCACAGAATGATCACCATCATCACCCATCATCAGCATCATCATCATCAGCATTATCATCATCATCATCATCATCAGCATCATCATCATCATCATCATCATCATCATCATCATCATCATCATCATCATCATCATCATCATCATCATCATCATCATCTTGATCATCGTCGTCAATATCCTCATGATCGTCATCATTGTAATGATCATCATCACCATGAACATCCTCCTCCTCATCAGCATCATAGGCGTCGTCGGAGTCGTCGTCATCATCCTAATCATCGTCAGTAGAAGTGTCAACATAATCGTCGTCATCATCACAAGCAAAATAGTCTTCGCCCGCATCATCATCAGCATCATCATCATCGTCATCAGCA